TATGTATGTATGTATGTATGTATATATGTATATATATATATGTGTGTGTATGTGAGTGCGTATTTGTGTAATTTATTTTCTTATATATGTATATATATATATATATATATATATGTATATGTATGTATGTATGTATGTATGTATGTATATGTATATATATATATATATATACGTACAGATATTTATGAATATAATATATATATATATATATATATATATAATATGTATGTATATATGTATGTTTGTATACCAATATACAATTGTATGTTTAAATTCTTATAAATACGTATATATATATATATATAGACATTGGAACATCCAGAGAGATATATGTAGACCAATGCTGAGTGGTAAATTTCATATATAGACTAATCTAAAGCTCATATTTTATCATATTTATGTGATAGTGGATGTATATCTGGCTCTCGCTCGTTCGTTGTACACTTTCATACATACAGTTGTGAGGTTTCATTATCGCTAACGCATTTCTGCGAACACAATGCCTGTTGGCGGGGGTAGGAGAGACATATGAAACAGTAGTCTCAGACACATGGAAATAACTAGTCCTGTATGTGCATGCAGAAGTATGAGAATGTAGAACTTGCCACCTGAGTGGTGAGTATGTAGGTACAAAACCTGTGAACAGTTGCCACAGACGTACTTGTCAAGATACGAATAATGCACGTACGCCTGTCAGGGTTATGAGAATGTAGAGCTCGTAACGCATGTACAGTGCCACAAGCAATTTACACCTCGAACCCTGTTTAAAACATGTCAGATGAGGAAAAGCAGGCTTTAACAGAGGAGAGCCTTCTGCTGCAACGTCTACGATTGCTCAATGAGCATGAGGAGGCTGTCTTGCGTGCCCAACTCAGAGATGTATGCTTGGACAAACGGGCGCTGATATCCAGGTATATATATATATACATATATATATATATATGTGTGTGTGTGTGTATGTATGTGTGTGAGTGCATGTATGTATGTACTACATGGGTGTGACGTCTTATTCGCATTGTATCCGTGCCTATTTCATTTTCATATATGCATGTATGTGTGTACTACATGGATGTAATGTCCTATAACGCATTGTGTTCGTGCCTATTTCATTCTCATATGTACATGTATGTGTGTACTACATGGGTGGGATGTCTTATTACGCATTGTTTTCGAGTCTATTTCATTCTCATATGAGCATGTATGCGTGTACTACATGGGTGTGATGAGTCGTGGGGTGTTCTGTGCGTGTGCATGTGAGTCTATTGTTTCTGTCTTCTCGTCATATTGAGTGAGTGCATTTACAGGCGGGTTGTGGTATAGACAGTTAATCTGTTACCGCTCTCTGCCTATTTCTGTTGAGTACATGTACCTTATATATATATTTTCCTGCAAGCCCTCCATATATCTTTTTGTTGGTGAGTATATAAATACCTTGTTCGCTTTTGTGTGACTGTTATTTGTCGAGGTAGTACACCCCTCAACCATATTCGATTATTGGATATAATCCTCAAAAAAACGATTATTGGATGTAATCTTAGAAGCCATCCCGGTTATTGGATATGTTCCTGGAAACAATTGCGATTGTTGGATGTATTCCTAAAACCGATTCCGACAATTGGATGTATTCCTGTGCTAACGTGTGGAAACCGGTAGGTGGCCAATCCTGCGATGGAGCCCGAGCTCTATTGATAAAAATCTTCTCTTAGTTACCTACTATAGCATGTGACGTGGATTTTATTTGTGGTTAACGTATTGTTTTCTTCGTATGCAGAGTCAGCAAAATGGAGGATGCTCAGAGATACCTCAGCAAACGCGCATGGTTCGCGTTCATCCTGGGCGCTGTGGGCATGTTCCTGCTAGCCTATCAGGTACTTTTAGTGGACGACCCGAACGAGTATATGTATATGTATATGTATATGTATATGTATATATATATATATATATATATATATATATATATATTATTATATATAATATGTATGTATGCATATGTATATATTATATATATATATATATATGTGTGTGTGTGTGTGTGTGTGTGTTCAGATATCTATATTCTTATATCTATATATAGATGATGTATTTTCATACGTAATTCTGTTTGTAGCCTTTACAATATATCTTTCTCTCATACATACATTGACTGATATTTGCAGACTGACTGGCTACCTGTGGGCCGTGTATATGAAGCAACGCAGAAATCGGTGGCTGGGACATCCTTCGGGCGCTTTGTGAACGACACGTACAGTGCGGTACTTCCCGAGGTTCTTGGTGCGAGCGATGGTAGGTATTGTGATGCTTGTGTATGTATGTATA